CACACACACGCACACACACACACACACACGCACACACACATGCCCAGCATGATTTTCAAGCCACCATCCCCTTCTGAACACCTGTCCCTGAGATACCCCTTAGCAAAAGGCTCTGGGAACTGTTCCCTACTTGGCTCCCTCCTGGAGGCCTCATGGCAAAGAGCAGGCCCTGGGAAGCCCTGCAGGGAAGAAGCCTGCGGACGCCCATTGGTCTAGGGGAAGGTTGGAGCCCGGCAATCCTGGGCCCCTCCCCTCGGCTCCTGGCCCGCCTCCTGGCCCTCACCCCCAAGGTCTGCCTCTCCAGCTGAGGGGGAAGGGCAGACAAGAAGGCCAGGACAGCTGCCTTCCCTCCCAGCCTCTGCCACGGGACCTCACCAGACTCCTGCTGGCTTTTCCAGGTAAAGGAAGAAGCCGTTCAAGGCCCCCTCTCTGTCCCGTTGCCATGATGCAAAGAGGAGTCAGCCTCCAGACCAAGCTGGGCCCGTATGCGCGTGTGTAATCTTGCATACACAGGTAGGCTGTGGGAAAATGGAATTAAACAGGAGTTCAGAGTTGGCTCATGGCACGGTGGTTAAGGCAGCTGGACTCTACTTGGCCAATTGCATGGTTTGAGTCCTGGACCCAGTGGCTTAAGAAATACACCAACACGGCACCGGCAGTTAGCATAATGGCTATGTCACTGGACTCCCATGTAGTCAACTGGGATTCGAGTCCCGGACCCAGTGGCCTAAACTCGTGCCAGGCACGTGTGCATGCGTGCCCAAGATCCCAAGAAGAGAATGGAGGAGAAGGGACTGCAGCGTGTCCATCTTCCTGGGGGGTGATTTCTCACTTTCTGTCTCTCTGTCTCTCTCTGTCTTTCTGGCAAGCACACACACCCTATGGCAAAAACCTCTCCAAAAAAAAAATAAAAAAGGAAACACCAACGCAAGCACATGTGTGCGCAAAATCCCGAAAGGAGAGAGCAATGGAGGAGAGACTGCAGCATGACCACGCTGCCTTGGGTACTTTCTCACTTACCTTTGTCTTTCTCTGTCTCTGTCTCTCTCTAGTGAGCACATACCCCCTCTGGTTAAAAAAAAAAAAAAAGTGCAAGTTTATTTTGGTACAGAAATGTTTTAAAATCTATGCATAATTTTCCATAGCATACCTTTTCCACAAACTTTTTGAAGACACCCCCCACCCCCTATGTGTCTTTAGCCTGTATTCCACCGGAAGTCCCATCTCCCACGCTTGGCCCCTGAGTGGGTCCATTTCTCACTGCCTGGTGGTGACAATGACAACAGCTGGCATTCTGAGCACACAGGGGGCCAGCATCCGCGAAGGAGCGTGTGCATTTCCCACCCCCGCAGTTCACGGTCACAACTTCAAGCAGTCACAGAGCCAGCGCTGGGTGCATAGTGGGCGCTCCACAGGTTGAGTGGAACAATACTCTGTGTTCTAGTCTTTGTGAGTAGAAAAAGTCTGATTTCTGTCTTTCTTTTTTTAGGTTTTCGCCATAGGGTGCATGCACTAGTCGGAGACAGAGGGAAAGTGAGAAGTCACACCCGGGGACATGGCCATGCCACAATCCCTTCCGTTCTCTTCTTGGGATTTTGGGCACACTCGCACACATGCCCAGTGTGAGTTTCAAACCAGCAGGTTCTGGCCTCAATTTCTTTCCTTCCTTTTAATCTTATTTTTTTTCCTAGAAGGAAAAAGAAGCACATGAGCATGTGCTTGCCAGAGAGCGAGGAGAAAGCACCCCAGTGGGGCCTGGTCAAACTGCAATCCTTTCTCCTTCAGCTCCCCCCACCCCACCCCACGGCGGGATTTTGGGCACACATGCATGTGCGTGCTAAGCGTGTTTCTCAAGCCACTGGTCTGAGACTTGAACTCATGGTTGGCCATGTGGATCTGGCTGCCTTACACACCAGGTCCTGGAGCCGGCCCAACCTGACAATGTATGAGCACGGTGCCTTGCACATGGTAGGACCCGAAAAATCTTGTATTTAGTTAAACGATATTGAGGGAACAAGCCAGGGAGCGGGTGGGGAGTGGGGGTGAGCAGTTCCCCAAGCCCTCCCCCGTCTAAACACACGACCCAAATCAATAGCGCGCTTTCCATGGCGCAGTGTTCAGCAAGAGCTGCGGCCACTCTGCCCTGAACGGTGGGGCAGCTGCAATCCCTGCAAAAGTTCTGGAGCCTCCCCCATCCCAGCCTCAGCGGCCACTACGGTCCTGGAAATGTATCCCACTCACGGTCACCAGGGGGAGCCCTCAGCCCGCGTGGTCACGCAAGGTCTTTCCTGCAGGCGGAAGCAAACCAGAGACAACCTGGCCCTGGGCTCCCACGGGATAGAGGACTGGACCGTGAAACGCGACCTAAAGGAGAGGTGGGAGCTCCGTGAGCACGTGGGGGCGAGGCAGTGGCACAGTTGTTTGCTACAGGGGAGACACTGGGGCACGCTCTTGTTGCACTTTTTTTTTAGGAGGTATTTTTGCATTAGGACGCATGCACTGGCCAGAGAGAGACAGAGACAGAGGGAGGAAAAGTGGGAAATCACCCCTCAGGAGGGATGGCCACGCCACAATCCCTTCTCTTCCATTAGCTCGGGAAAGCAGCTCCATGCGCCCAGTGTGAGTTCCAAGCCACCGGGTCCAGGACTGGAACTGTGGTCGGCCATGTGGGAGTCCAGGGACATAAACACTGCGCCACCTGCTGGCCCCTCTTGTCACACTGTTATTCTACATGGTGCTCACCTGCTGACACCGTCCTGTGCTGGCAGACTGGGGACGTGGGGACCAGGTAGACCAGCTGACTCCCTCTCTTCTGCCCTGGCTGGGGGGCCCTGGCCAACAACGCACTCAGGGAGCAGCTGTCTTCCCGCGAGATGCCACATCTGCACACCTTGCTCGGTCCCTGGCACCTGGGCTGTGGCGCACACCAGTCCCGTGTCCCTGGGCAAAGGCCACCCTCCCTGGGCCTCTGCTTGCTCAGCTATGAGGACGGGGTTTGATGCTTCATCTCAGTCTTGGGGGCGCTGACCAATGGAATTCCCATCCTGCCACTGTGTCCCTGCAGGTGAATGTAAGAAAGCATCCCCCCATGGGGCCTGGCCACACCACAATCCTTTTTCTTCCATTTCTCCATCCCACCAGGACTTACGACACAGCACACGCACACACACCTTGTGATTTTTAAGCTGCCGGGGCTGGGATTTGAACTTCAGCTGACCATGTGGAATCTGGCTCCCACTGCACAGCTCGTAACCACTGTGCTACCCGGGCTGGCCCAGCCTTTAGCTGATTCGGTGATTAAACTTTTCTCATGAGCTCCAGGGAGTCTGTTTTTGTTTGTTTGTTTGTTTGTTTGTTTTTAAATAATTGATTTTCTGGGAAAGTATATTTTAAGCATTAAGTGATCATCTTTTTTTGTTTTAAAGAATCATTTATTTTTATTAATTATTATTATTATTCTGGAGAGGCTTTTGCTATAGGGTGCATACGCTCGTCAGAAAGACAGAGACAGACAGAGAGAGACAGAGAGACAGAAAGCGAGAAATCACCCCCAGGGGGGATGGCCAGGCCACAATCTCTTCTCCTCCATTCTCTCAGGATCTCGGGCACACATGCATACATACCCAGTGTGAGTTTAAGCCACCAGGTCTGGGACTCAAACCGCAGTAGACTACATGGGAGTCCAATGACATAGCCATTATGCCAACTGCTGGTCCCATATTATTATTACATATTTTTAAATTTTGCTGTAGGGCGTATGCACTCACCAGAGAGAGAAAGTGAGAAAGCAAGCCTCCAGTCTAGGATTTGGACCACGATTGGCCACGTGAGAGTCTCGAGCCCTAACCACCACGTCCCCTGCTGGCTCCCTGTGCTGATTTTTGATGGCTTAACCATACTTCATTTTACTCACTCTCCCAGCAGCCTGGTGATGTGGGAGCCGTTAATCCCCACGTGAAGGATGAGCAAGCTGAGGCACAGTGGAATTAAACTATCGGAAGCTACACAGATGGTCGGGACTGCACTCAGCCCCGTGTCTCCGTCCCAAAGTGCCACTGCTCCAGAAAGCTAGCGCTCGTGGACAGACCCCACTTCTGCTCCGGACGGTGGCCGGACATACACCTGCTCTGTATACTGGAGGGCAGTTTGTGGGCTGTTTCCACCCTGCTGTCCCTGGAGGGAGAGAGTGGCTCTGGTCCGTCCTTCCCACTGCTCGCTGAGGGCCAGGCTCTGTCAGCTGACGAGGGTCATAGCAGTAAGTCATCGGTAAGCACGGCGAGTCGGACGTTAGGAGGATAGGGCTGCAGAGAGAAAACAGAAGGACCTCCGGCGTGAGGAGGAAGTTTCATTGCAGACAGGCCTCCCCGCAAAGACGGATGTGAGCAGAGACCCCGGGAGTGGGAGCGGGAGCAGGAGCGGGGACTGGGGGTGGGCGTGAGCGGGGGCTCCTGGGAAGTGATGCAGCACGGTCTGCACAAAGGCCCCGAGGAAGGGCCTGGCGTCCAGGGAGGCTGGAGGAATGAGAGAGGCCGCCGAACAGGGACAAGATCAGAGAAGCAGCCAGGGCCCTGCCTGAGAGGTTCTCGGAGGTCACTTCAAGGACTTTGGCTCTCACCCAGAAAGAAGCAGGACGCCCTGGACCCCTGTATTGGCTCAGGCTGCTGAGTCGAGGCAGTGTTTTGCTGGGTGAGGCGTGGAGCACGGAGGCTGGGTGAGAGGCTCTTGCATAACCTAGGCACGAGATGAAGGTGCTCGGAGGCCATCAGACATGGCTGGATTCTGGAGAGGCAGGACTGGGGACTCGCTAGGCGTGGAGGGGAGTGTGAAAGCGGGTCTTAGGGGCTGACTGCAGTCACTTGGCCCAAGTAACAGTGGTGAGGAATGCGGACGGCACGGCACAGTGGGAAGAGGCGTTCTCTCTGTCTGTCCTGGCCCTCTGCCCCGGGGTGCTGGTCGGGTGCCGGTCCTGTGCCAGACGCCATGTCTAGCGGGAAAGCGGGAGGGGCAGGGAAATTAGGCAGCGCCATAGAGATCTATGATGTGTCAAGACGAGAGCACATACCTGCTTTTTACTTTCATGAAGGAAAACACACAGCTTTAAAACACTTTATGGGGGAGTTGGCCTGTGGCCTAATGGTTAAGGCAGTGGGATCCCATGCGGCCCAATACGTGGTTTGAGTCCCAGACCCAGTGGCTTGAAAAGCAATCCGTCCAAAATCTCATACCCCAAATCCTGAAAGGAGGGAGAGTTGAAGGAGGGGAGATTGTGGTCTGAGCACTCCCAATAGCGGGGTGCTTTCTCTGTCTCCCCCTCTCTCTGTCTCTGTCTCTCTCTAAAGAGTGCATGCACCCTCTGGTGAAATTTACAACGTAAGTTTCATGTTGAAATGACTTTAGACTGACAGGACAGTCCCAAAGGTAGTACAGGTTCTGCAGGGCTACCGGCCTCCCCTATGGGCAGCGGGTTGCTGACCACAGCACACCTTCCCACGCCCTCCCCCTATTTTTTTAGTTTACATAGGGCGCATGCGTTTGCTGGAGAGTGAGAGCAGGAGAGAGTGAGAAAGCACGCCCCAGGGGGTGGCCACGCTGCAATTCCTTCTCCTCTGTTCTCCGCTCAGGATTTTGGACGCGTACATATGCCTGGTGTATTTGTCAAGCTGCCAAGTCCAGGACTTGAACCTTGAAGTCAGCCTATGACATTCAGCTGCCTTAACCACCATGCCACCTGCTGGCCCCAGATTCATCTTTTGAATCCAGTTCAAAAGTTATCTCCTCTGGGAAGTCTTCCCTGAGGCAGAGGCATTTGCCCAGGATTTTTGCAAATCTGGCACAGGACTGAGTTATTTGTTCATGGTTTTACCTCCCCAGGCACGGGGTCTAGGTCAAACTAGCCTCTCTCTTTTGCCTGAGACAGAAATGGACCACTACACGCATCTCAGAGCTGCAGGTTGTTCCCAGACTTTTGGGTGCATCTCCAAGTGCTCAATGGCTCGCCATCCCAGGCTCGGCCCTGGGTCCCAGGGAGCTGGTGCTTGGCCAGCGCCTGCGAACTGGCCAATGGGATTAGCAGAGAGGAAGGTCAGATCTAGGAGGTCCTTCAGCCTCACCCCACCCAGCGTTCCAAACACGCAGCCAGAGGCAGAGTGAGCCACTGCCTGCCAGGGTCCTAGCCAGACCGCAGCGAGGCCACCTGGGCTGCTGGAGTCAGCAAGAGCGCGATGGCCTGGGTACCGTGGCAGCCAGGGCCTGCTCTGAGGGCGGCCTGCGTTCAGCTCCCATGCGGACCTAGAGCTGCCTTGGAGAGGCCGCTGTCATGATGGTCAGATGCCCACGCGGTCAAGCAAGGCTCTCCAGCACGGCTGGGGGAGGTGGGCAGTGCGTGCCAGCTTTTGCAAACTGGAGATGGGCTGTGATCCTCCACCCCAGGTCTGGGAGAGAGGTCCCTCCGAGGACAGGGCCACACGCATTGCAAGTGCTACGGACGCCATCTGCCGCCATGTCGGCCTGCTAGTTGAGTGGCTGACACGGATGGAGGGCATGGCCCGGAGCCAGGATCCTAGCCCCAGGGAGAAAGGATGTCAGGAGAGCACAGGCCCTGGGGTGGGAGTAGCTGAAATGGGGACCACAGAGTGTACCCCACACTACACAGAGGGGAAACATGCAGAACTTCACAGGTGCCCAGGACACCAGAGGGGCTGGATGGTGGCGCGGCAGTGCAATGGCACACCCACGGCGGAAGGTTGCCAGTTACTGACCTGTGTCCAGAGACCTGCCTGAGTGTGCCAGGCCCACACTCGTGCCCATGCTGGGCTGGTTAAAGGTGGAACCTTGCTGGGAGGTGCGGTCTCTCCGTCTCACTCCTGGAATAGATAAACTTTAGATGTTTGTAGAGGGGCCAGCAGATGATGTGGTGGTTATGACACTTGGATTGAGTCCTGTGGCTGACAGTGGTTTGAGTCCCAGACCCGGCAGCTTATAAACCATACCAGGTCCATGTGCATGCATGCCCAAAATCCCAAGAGGAGAGAGGAGGAGAAGGTATTGCAATATGGCCATCCCCCTTGGGGGGTGATTTCTCACTTTCCCTCTCTATCTGTCTCTCTCCAGAAAGTATATGCACCTTATGGAGAAAAAAAAATGTTTGTAGAGTTGAATCGAATTGATTATGCAGATCATAGACTTGCTCAAATAGATTGAATTTCTTTTCTGGGACCAGCAGGTGGTGTGGTGGTTAAGGTGCTGGACACTCCCACATGGCCGACCATGGTTCAAGTCTCGGACCTGGAGGCTTGCTTTTTCACTTTACCGCTTTCTCTCTCTGTGTCTCTCTAATCAAACTAAAAATAAATGAATGAATAAGTAAAATTAAATAAATAATTTTTAAAAAATAGATTGAATTTCTTTTCTGATAATTTCATTTTGGTGTAAGTTTACTTTCAGTTTAGGAAATCAAAGTATATTTGGATAAGTATTTTTTTTCCTTATTGTTTTGCACATTTGTTTTTTTTTTATTTTATTTATTCCATGAGAGAGACAAAGAGACAGGTACCCCCACTGGGATCCTCATGTCAAGATCCCACCCATCTCAGCTGGCCATGATGACGGCACACATGTACGCGCCCAGTGAGTCAGAGAAGTCCCAGGACACAAACCCAGGACCTTCCCCACATGGGTCCAATTGCATTACCTCTGTGCTACCTCCTGGGCCTGAGCAAAATCACTTTTTTTTTTTTTGGAGAGGTTTTTGCTATAGGGCGCATGCGCTCACCAGACAGACAGAGACAGAGAGACAGAAAGTGAGAAATCACCCCCCAGGGGGGATGGTCATGCTGCAATCCCTTCTCCTCCATTCTCCTCTCGGGATCTTGGGCACGCACGCACATGCGCCCGGCGTGAGTTTTAAGCCACCGGGTCTGGGACGCGAACCGCAGTCTACTACATGGGAGTCCAGCGACATAGCCATTATGCTAACTGCTGGTCCCAATAGCTTTTTTTTTAAAGAATTATTTTATTTAACTTTATTTATTCATTTATTTATTTTAATTTGACCAGAGAAGGACATAGCGAGAGAGAGCGAAAGTGAGAAGTCAAGCCATCAGATCCAGGACTAGAACCACGGTCGGCCATGTGGGAGTCCAATGCCCTTAACCATCATGCTACCTGCCGGCCCCAAAAATAACTTCAATAGATTTTAAGCGCATTGATGCTTGCAGAACTAGAAGTCTACGAGATTTTTTCCCTTTGATTTGTGTCTGAGGTAAAGAAAGAATGAGGGGATGGGAATATTTTTAACATTTTTAACTACAAAGAAAAAAGAAACTGTAGAAGAAGCGGGAAAATAAAGGTGACTTTCATGCCTAGCAAGAATTTAAGCATTAGGGAGTCTGGTTGGTTTACAAGGACCTTTTTATTTGGGTTTCATGACTCAGCGATCTCTCCCAGGCCAAGTACGAACACTGGGTTAGGGACGAAGGCAGAAATAAGTTACTAACAAACCTGAGGTGGTTAATATTAACTTCCTCTTTCCCCAGGAATAAACCGTATCGTCTGCGATTAATGGGCCAAACTCAGATGATTGTTGACAAACCTGGGTTAGCAAACTGTTCCTGTAAAGAGCCAGAGGTAAATATTTTAGGCTTGGCAGAGTTTATAGTCTCTGGGGCATAAATTCTCCTCACTTCTGCCACAGAGATGCAAAATCAGCCAGAAATAGCATGCAAACAAATGGCTGACCATGGATCAAATCCCAGCAGCCCCACCAGCTCACAAAACGTAGGGCGGGCCAGCCAGTGGCCTGGTGCTTAAAGTGTCTGGATTCCCCATGACCGACTATGTAGTTCAAGTCCCAGACCTGGCAGCTTAAAAAACACAGTGGGCAGGGCCGGCAGGTGGCTTGGTGGTTAAGGCGCTGAACTCTCACATGGCAGGACGTGGATCAAGTCCTGGACCTGGCAGCTTGCTTTATCCCTCTTCCGCTCTCTCTGTCTCTGTATCTCTCTGGTCAAATTGAATAATAATAAATTAATTAAATTAATAATTATTTAAAAGACAAAATGAGACAAACAAACAAAAACCACTGGGCACGTGTGTGTGCAAGCCCAACACCCAGAGAGGAGAATGGAGGAGAAAGGACTGTGGTGTGGCTGTCCCCTCTGGAGCGTGTTTTCTCACTTGGCCTCTCTGTCTCTGTGTCTCTCTCCGGTGGGCACATTCTCCCTGTAACAAATGTCAAAAGCAAAACGAAAACTAACCCTGATCAACTGTGCACGTGTGCCCCAAAATCCCAGGTGAAGAAGTGGAGAAAGGATTGCAGTGTGACCACACCCCATTGAGGGGTGCTATCCCCCTCTTCCTCCCATCTTTTTCTGTCTATTTCTGTCTGGTGAGTGCACACACCCTTTACCGATTAAAAGCAAAACAAAATGACCTAATTTACAACACCCTTTACCAATTAAAAGCAAAACAAAATGACCTAATTTACAAAACTACTGGAGGGACCAGCAGATGCTGTAATGGTTACATCACTGGACTCCCACATAGTCGACCACGGTTCAGGTCCTAGACCCAGCAGCTTCAAACTCACACCGGGCCACATGTGCGTGTCCAAAAGTCCAAGAGAAGAATGGAGGAGAAGGGATTGTAGCATGGCCATCTGGCCTGGGGGGTGATTTCTTGCCTTCTGTCTCTCTGTCTTTTTCTGTCTCTCTGGCGAACACATGTACTTTATGGCAAAAATCTCTCTTCAAAAAATAAACAAATAGTGGAAGCCAGAGTTGGCGTGCTGACTGTGGCTTGCTAACCAGAACCAAACAATCCATTTTCAAGTGTCCCTGTTCCCATTTCTCTGACACTCACTGTCTCGGTCAGCTGGGACTGAGAAAGGATTACAGTGCAACAGAACAGTGTCAACTGAATGACTCAGTCCACAGAAATCTCTCACAGCTCTGGAGGCTGGAAGGCCGAGGTGGAGGCCAAGGCACCAGCAGGTCCTGCGTCTGCACTTCCAGGCTTGCAGATGGTTGTCTTCTTCCGGCGTCTTTGCAAGGAGGAAAAAGCAGAGAGAAGATGAGCTCTCTTAAATTTTTTTTTCTTATTGCCAAAGGATGTCTGCATTTCCAGAGTATGGAAAATCATCCCCAACGGTATATAGTCACACCACAATTCCTTCTCCATCTCTCCATCCTGGCAGGATTGGGGACGTGCACACATGCCTGGTGTGGTTTTCAACTTCATGTTCAGACTCCCTCAACCACTGACTGCAGGGCCTGCCTTTGCTTCTCTTCCCATCAGGACTCTGTCCCAATCATGAGGCTCCACCCTCATGACCTAATCTCCTAATACCATCACTCGGTGGTCAGGATTTCAATATAAGAATTTGGGGGAAACCCATTCAATCCACTACACACGCCATGCTCGTATGACAGGAAGAAGGCCCACAGACTCTGCAAGGTTGACATGTCACTGTAACCTTTTGTACCATTTGCAGTGATCCAGTAATGAGTGAAAACAGCAGTCAGGGCAGGGAAGAGATCAGGTTCACGGATCGGATGTCAGACACAGAAGGGATGACTCACGTCCAACTGGGTTGCTCACCTGTCTGCAGTCCCTCTGCCACCACCACCACTCCGCCCCCTGCTGATCACCACTGGCTTCAGCTGATGGGCTGCACAGGGAGTCTGCTGGCATTGTGCGCGTGGCTTTGTAGCTGAGGAGAGCATAAAGTGCACAGAACTGTGGCTGGTTATGTGGCAGAAAAAGCCCAGGAGGAGTTCGAGTCCCAGTTCTGCTACTTACTAACTTCAAGACCTTGGGACCAGCAGTTGGCGTAATGGCTATGTCACTGGTCTCCCATGTAGTCGACCGTGGTTTGAGTCCTGGACCCAGTGGCTTAAACTCACGCTGGGCATGTGTACGTGTGTGCCCAAGATCCCAAGCAGAGAATGGAGGAGAAGGGATTGCGGCGTGGCCATCCCCCCTGGTGGGTGATTTCTCACTTTCTGTTTCTCTGTCTCTCTCTGTCTTTCTGGCCAGAGCACAGAAAGACAGCAAAAACCTTTATAGCAAAAACCTCTCCAAAAACAAACAAATGAAAAAAGGCCTTAGAAGTGAACTTTTTAGGAAATATACAAATTCAAGGGACCAGCAGTTAGCACCCACTGTGGGCAGGGAGACCTTGGGACGCAGACCCAGGGCCTTCCCACGGGTTCAGCATCACAGAGCATCAGATTACCCTGGGCCAGTGTGGCTGGTTGATTCATTTCTCTTTCATCTTAACTTCAATGGCTGTGGAGTAACAGGAGATCACCCGATCCATTGTTTGAGCCCATACCCTTCGGTGTCCTTTACGGCAAGTCTGCCTCCTGCGTTCCAGTTTCCGCTTTCTGTTTAAACAGGTACAGGGTCCTCGTCTTACTGCACATGGTCAGAACTTCGCCGTGTTACAGGACAGGCCAAACCAACGAGGGTCCGGCCCTGCCAGCTCCGCGGCTGCAGAAGTCTGATCTGAGTGAGCAGTGCAAAGGCGCCTTGTGCGAGATTGTCCTTGCTGAGTGGCCTTGCCTCTCCCTACTTCCCCACCCACCCTGGCAGAGGTGAAGCCATGAAACCAAATGGGGACACTTGTACACTCTGAGGGAAGGCGACAGCCACCTCACGGACCGCTGCCCAAACGCGGCGGTCCTGGGTAACCACCGTGGCTCTGGTCATGGACGCAGCACTACGGATAGACCGAGCGCCACAGACAGAGCTTGCCCGTGCTTCAAGCTTCTCCTCACCACCCAGACAGCCGGGCGGTCTTTCTGCGTATTTGTACCGACCAAGACCTACTCCGTACACCCCTCCTCTAACGGCCGTGGCGTGTCACTCACGGTGGGAAACTGCGGAGGTTCTGCCCCGGGAGAGCCGACCCGACCCGAGGGTCCCTCAACAAGCTGCATGTGAATGCAGCTGTGAAAGGCTGGGGGGCCTGGCAGCCCGTAGTCATCAGGACGGGTCCACAGTGTCACCTCCAGATGTCAGGCTAGTCTCAATGTCCAAGAAAATGCCATTCAGAGACCCGTCTCCTCCGGGAGGTATCGTCAGCTGCCGTTCTCTCCCAAAGTTTCATGTCTGATGCTTGAAAAATAAAGTTCACTCTATGAACAGAGAGAGTTGCAGAACCTCTGCCAGGGTCTGGTCACTGTGTCAGGTCCCCTACCTTGGCCAGCCCAGATCAAGGGCACACGCACACCCAGTGTCCTCAGGGAGGTCTCTGGATTGAACCAGTAACCTTTCCTCGTGAGTCGGCCACGGTGCCACTGCCCTGCCCATTTTCTGTGCCGTTGAAAGGAGTTCTTACTTCCTTTTAGAGAGAGATTTTTTGCTATAGGGCGTACATGCTCACCAGAGAGACAGCGAGACAGAGAGAGAGAAAGTGAGAACTCACCCCCCAGGGGGAATGGCCATGCCACAATCCCTTCTCCTCCATTCTCCTCTTGGGATCATGGGCATGCATGCACATGTGCCTGGCATGAGTTCAAGCCACCAGGTCTGGGACTCGAACTGTGGTTGACTACATGGGAGTCCAGCGACATAGCCATTGCGTCAACTGCTGGTCCCGAATAAATAATTTTTTTAATTATTTATTTTAAGTTTTAAAATAGATTATGTCTTGGGATTAGTAGGTGGTGTGGTAGTTAAGGTGCTGGACGTTCCCCACGGCCCACCACAGTTGGAATCCCAAACCTGGTGGCCTGCTTTCTCTCTCCCCCTCCTCCCTGCCCCTCCCTTTTTCTCTCTCTCTCTCTCTGGTGGGAGCACTTGCCCTGCTACATGCCCTATAGCAATTTTTTTTAAAAAAAGATAATGACGATAAACAAAATTAATTAATTCTTTTCTTAAAAAAGGATTAGGCCCCATTTCCAGTTCTCCAATATTCCTGTGACAATTACAGTTTATTTCCAGAGATGATCTTAGGGTTGTCGGTCACATGGGAAGCCCAAGCTTGTGTGTTTATTAAGGGAAGCAGTTACTAAAAATCGGTCTGAGGTTTTAGCATATGTGGTGGAAGCCAGGTCTACAGATGCGGCGTTTTTAAAAGTCCTCAGAGCAGAAAGAGCACAGGCCTTGGCTGACTTCCCGCCAGGCAGACACTAGACGGGAAACAGTGGGAACCCAGCCGCCAGCAGAGCCCAGCCCCGGGCAGGCGAGCCCCGAGTGTGAATATATTTAAGCCGTGCGTCATATGACCAGACTCTGCTTGGGCAGAAGTAAAACATGTTTTCCTTGAAATGATTAAACTTAGTTGAACTCAGCTCAAGAAAAATTTATTTCCCTTTGAATTTTTTTTCAAGCTTAAAGAGTTTCAACATGAGATTTGTTTTCTTAAAAGAGAAAATGTATATCAA